CGGAGAGACCTGCAGTGGGCACTCTACCGCAAGGCTCTTCTGAAGACGCCAGAGTGCATTTGAAGGACTGAAAGCAAAGACTGCAATCCAGTAGGGTTTCTGGGAGAAGCATTACATAACCCCTGCCCTTACCTCCATTACTTCTCATATGCAGAGAGCCATGGAGCTCCAGGTGGCATATCTGACATGTTTTGAGGCTGGGATATCCAGAAATGCCCTGGGCCAAGCAGGCAGTGGAGACAGGGGCAAGTGGTAAGGTCTATAGGCTTCTCCTTCCCTCCCACCAAAGCTTGCCTGGCCAAGCAGCCCCTCAGCCCCTCAGTCCCTATACTCCAAATCTTCTTCAGTCACTCTCCTAGAAGAGAACAAAGACTCGAAGCTGCCTTGGGCCTAGCATGGCACTCAGTGTCTTCATACTCCTAGAGCCCTGAGGATTTCACTCAGCTGCTTTGACAAGAGACAATGGTTCCTCACACAGCCACTTTCCTCCAACTGAAGAATGAAATGAAAGCACATATCAAGACAGGCTCTAGGACCTGCACACTTTCATGGGCTCCAGCTCCTACCCCATGGAGACCATCAGCCCTGGTTACAAGAAGGTGCCAGCCTTTGATCAGTGGCTGCCTCAACCCAATGCCAGCCCCTTTCCTTACCAATCAGATGGCTTCAGAGGCAGGGTGTCCCCTGACCACAGTCAGCATCCGTTGGCCCGTCTGTGAAGCTTCCAATCAGAGACAAGCCCTTGGGGACTCATCAGTGCCTGAAGCCAGAAGTGACCACCTGGTGTTCCTATTCCCAGCCCAGTGGGGTCCCTGAACTCCCACACAGCTGGCAGCCTCTTAGTCAGACAGCTGCGTCACCCTGCCTGACACCAGCAGGGGAGGCTGGCAGTGGCCCAGAGGAGCTCATGCCCACGGCTGCAGCAAGCTCAAGACCCTGGCCCAGGGTGGCACCCACCAACTGGAGATGCTGCTGGGCCTGCTGGCTGGATGTGCGACCCTCTCACTATGAACCCTGTACAGCTCAGGCTGTAAGCAGGTGAGGGTTGGATGCTGGGCTGCCTGGCTGTGGAAGCTGCTTCCCTGCCCAGACCCAGGAGCCAGCCCCTCCCAAACTCTCTGAGGAATCCTCCCTTACATGCATCGCTCAGGGCTTTGTGTCTGGGGACTCAAATCTGCCAGCTCGCTGCCCCCATGCACCTGCCTCCCACCTTGGTCACAGTCTCAGCTAGCCTACCTGCCAGATGGCAAGCCAGGGAGAACACCTGGGAGAGAAAAGAGGTTCCTGGGGTGGAGCAAGTTTGGAAAGGAAGCCATTCCTTCTTTTCCAGGGCTACCTGGACTTGGCCTCTAAGAGAGGCCATGGCTGGGGAAGTGAAAGAGGGCAAGAACCCTTGGGTGGCAAATCCTTAGGTCCTTTTCAAGAGACTAGGTACAAAAAAAAAAACCCCATGCACCCCACATCTCTCTCTCCACATGCCCACTTTCTTCTGCTTGGCTTCCCCTGCTGCTAGGAAGCCAACCTGAGACAGAAGAACGAGAATATTGAGTTTCAGCATCGGCATTTGCCAGGGATGGCAAGGGTTTAGGGGCCAACCCAGTGGGGCAGGCATGACCAGAGGCTTTCTGCTTTCCCCACCTGTCCACACAGCTGGGGAACTGACCCATCTCTCAGTGGGTTGCGTGAGGTGACTTACATGAGATCCCATGCACAAAGGCCGGAACGCATACAGGTACACATATCTGTACAACACCAAGAGGTCACTGCTAGCTGTGTAACATATGTGGCAGTGAGAGTTTATAGGGATGCACACCAAGCTGACCATGGGAGTTAGTTCTATAGTGGAGCTTAACATTATGGAACGAGGGACTTTGTTAGCTACACCTGTAATGTTTGCCTTTTTCAGGAAGATATCATCAAGCAGGACTTTTGTAATTATTTTTTATACACAATGTGCTGGTGCATAATAGATCCACCAGAGAAATTAGTGGTCAGTATTGGTTTACTTCTATGTCCACTTTTCCACAGTGAACATGCCCTAAAGACCAGGCTTGGATGACCAAGGCAAATCCAACCTTCAATTCAGGAGGCCAGAATTGCTCTCCAGGGACCCTGGTCAGAGGCCATCCTCCAGGCCTTTATTTCTGCTAGGTGCCAGTGATGCGGAAGGCAATGGAAGTTAGTACCTTCACTTTAGCAGCTCCTGATCCAGCACAGGGACAAACTATGTACCCCTCTAGGGCCAAGCCTAGGCAGCCCATAGGAAGTTTCACAGAGGAGCAATAAACAACACACTGCAGAAGAACCCCTTCCCCCATATCCAAATATGAATGAGTCCCTCCCCTCCCCTACCAGCCCATGGGGAAGTTCAAGGCTTCTTGGAAGATGGGTTGCGTTAATGCTGGAGAGCTTGAACAAGGCCAGGGCAGCTTGGTAGGGAACTAGCATCAAGGGGTGAGATGAACTGACGGATTTTAGCCAGAAGCCTTGGTAAGAGGTGCCAACCCCTACAATAGGGCCCTTCGCAGAACTCTGCAGAGGAGCCTGCTGCCTGTCTCCCAGGTCATCATGGAGGCCAGCATGGGGCAGCTTGAGCTCCTTTTCCCTTCTGGAAGCCTCTGTAGATGAAGCAGGCAGGCAGGGCTAGCAAAAGCCAAACAGTCACACCACAGGGTAAGGTTCTAGGCTAGTGCTCCACCTTACCTCACCTGGCGCAGGAGGCATTTCTCCAGGGGGTTGCCACACTGTTTGTTTGCAACTCAACTAAATTGCTCCCAAGGGTGGAACTTTGTTTCGAAACATATCTTAAGCCAGACTTCTTCTGAAAACATGTCCGTGTCTGCTCACACACACACACGCACACCCATGTCCCAAAGGGCAGGCCTTGCCCCAACCTGCAGCAGCCTTCTCTTCCTCTGAGCCTTCTGGCATAGACAGCTGGAACAGAAGAGAGTGTCAGCTTTCAGAGAACTGCTCAAGGGCAGCCTTCCTGGCATCCTTAAATCCACGTCTCTCCCCTTTGCTTAGCTGGCCTCCTTCCACGTGCTCAAAGGCAGTGGGGACTTTGGGCTTGTGGTTGTTGCCCTTAATAAGTCCCTGCAACTTGGGCCCTGGTCTTTCTTGAGGCTATGGGGAGGGAAGAAGAGGGCTGGCCTTCAACAAGTTTCCCCAGCCTTCCTTTTAGTCCTCAGTTGATTCCTGGGCACCAGGGGCCATTTGGAGGGGGCAGGGAGGCTCCAGGTTCCACCCGGGCCTCTTGGCTTTCCCAGCTAGAAGCACTTGTGTCTGGATGTGGCTCTTTCCCCATTCCACAGAGGGCTTTCCTCTGGCTTTCCATTACCCTCTCTACTCTGGGACCACAGAGGGAAGCTCCTAACTGATTCTTCATTAAGTGTTCTTGTCTCCATTTTCAGCAGGGCCCAAGCCCCAGTAGCCACATGCATGGCACTCCCCAGGGCTGACAGTAGGCCTCTGAGAATCAAGAGTAGAAGAACCCCCTCATAATATGGAGGTCACTGAGTACCAGAGAAGGGTGGGGAAGAGGCAGAGCATGTTCACATCTCCAGGCTCTTTCTTTCCTTCCTTCTTTCCTTCTTTCCTTGTCCCAGTCTCTCTCATCCTCCCTGTCTTCCTACTGTCTCTTTCTCTTTTTGCCTCTGTCTCTTCATCTCTGTCTCTGTCTCTCTCTCACATACACACATACAGACACAGACTTACACACATAATCATGTTTATTTTATATCTATGACTAACATACCCTCCTATCTTTATAGATGGAGAAGCCTTGACAGATTTGGAAGTTCCAGTAGCCATAAAAGCCAATGAGAACTTTCTGGGTCCTTGCCCCCCAAGAGATACATATTTATTCATTGGCCACAGGGAAAGGGACAACAGCTCTTCCCAAGGCCTCCTGTAGTCCAGCACATCTGCCCTGTGGTCAGGTCCCAAGCAGCAACACTCCTGTTGGCTCAGCTCAAGTCTCACTGCTGCACCAGCAATCTGCCCTGTTTGAGGTTAGCTTCATGGGGCTGTGGACATGGGGGAGTGGGGTTCAAAGTCCCCCCATGTGACCTCCCTTCCAGCCTCCAGAGCTGAGGATGGGCCTTGCTCTCAGTCAGTCTATATGAGACAGGCAGAACCCTAGGCTGGAACACAGGAAAATCCATTCTAGACCTAACCCTGTCCCAGTCTTGCTGGATGACCTTGGACCATGTTCTCCCTCTCCAGGACTCAATTTTCTCCTGGGCAAATGGAAAGGTTTCTGGTGCATTCCAGGTTTCCTCTGATTGAGTCCCTGCAATGCCTGGCCCAGACAAGCTGCTGAAGAACAGCTTACCCACAAACACTGATTGGCATGATAACAACAGGAGGGACTTTGCCAAGCTGTTCCCCTAAAAAGGCTCCCTGCTGGACAGGGGACTTTGGGGAGGAGGAAAGTGAGGGAACCAGGACCCCTGGAGTGGGGCATCAGTCCAGTCCCTGCAACAATGACTTTGTTCAGAGGGGCTGTCCCTACATGAATCCTGGATATAAGAAACTCAACCACCAGGGTTTGCTGCTATCAGTGAACTTTTATTGAGTGCATTTTCTGTGTAGAGCCCTGTACACAAAGTGGAAGAAAACTGGGAAAGCACAGCCAAGCCTCTGCCACAGAGGATGGAACAGAAGGGACGATGAGGGCACAGAGGCAAGGTTCAGCTCTGGGACAGTCACCATGGAGCCCACGGATAGGCAAGCAGGAAGAACTTGCCACTGGTGTTACTGTGGAGACGAGATGCCACCCACCTCACCCTCCAAAGTGGCTACATTTCAGCCCATGCAGACCTTCAGAATGTCACACTTCTTTTACCTCCCAGCAGCTAGGGCCTGCTTCAGGCAAGCGGTGTAACCAGAGTTGGAAAATGGCTCCGATGCTGCTAAGGACTGCTGGGAGATAAAAGGAAGATGGGCAAGGGCAGCACAGGGAGAAAAGGGAAGAAGAGGAAGGAGAAGCAGGCTCAGGCAGCATAAAACATCACTGGCGCATCCACAGCCACAGGTTGGCAATGCAGGCCGACACCAGCATGGTGAAGAACAGAGCATCCCTGTGGCGCCAGGTAGCGCCCTGGTCCTCCAGGGCACGCAGCCGGCTGGTGATCACGTGTAGCTGCAGAGACCAAAGGGGCTAGTGAGAGATCCTCTTGGGGAAGCCCATGGTTTACCACTGGGGAAAGTATGAACTTAGTACAGGAAGGGGATCTGCTGCCCTTCAGGAGGCCAAAGTGCCTCTTGGAGAGAAGAAGACAGAGCAACTGAAACAGGGGGCTGGGGTGGGCCAGTGGGACCAAGGGCCAGGCTGTGTACATTTGTAGGCCCAGCAGCCTTGCCCCCTTGTTGGTGTTCACCCAGTTGTCTGGAAAAAGCCAGCCTGTCCCAGCTGTATGGGGGGAGAAGTGGAACAAGACATTTCAGTTCTGGGGAAGGCTGGCATGGCAGCAGCTGCAGCACCAGAGTCAAGGCAAGGCTCCAGGGTAGGTGACACTCAGGGGCTGGAGAGGTCCTGTTGTGGTCTCTCCCTGAGAAGACAACCCCTCCCCAAGACCTCTTAGTGCCATTCTCTCTGCACAGATTTCTATCCTCTTCTGTTGCCTCTTCATCCTCCTTTTGACTTCCCCTTTTCCCTTCCCACACATCTCAGGGAGAGAGGCAGGGCTGAGACTGTCATTAAGATGGGACACTAGAGCCCCGAAGACTGGGAGGAAAGGAAGGGGAGCCTGACCTCACCTCCATTGTTAAAGGCTAAGATGACTTCAAAGGGGGTGGTCTCATTGTTGCCAAGGCCCACCTGCCCCAAGACACCATGATTCTGCTTCTACCCTCCCAGTGGGAGATGCTTACCTGTCTTCTCATGACTTCCATCTCCAATCCATTTAGCTCTTCCAAGCCAATCTCTGCCACCATATCTGCCTCTGGGTCACTGGGAAATAAGAAAAGAACGAGGTCTGTGAGTTGCTGGTGGTCCCAGGCCAGGTATGGCAGGGACCATAGGAAGGCCATGAGGGCAAGCAGGCAAGGTCAGGAGTATTTCCAGACAATGACTCTGTCATCCTCAGTCCTTCTCTTTCCAGGTAAGCAGGTCCTGGGGCCTGATGACTATGAGCTACCCCAGCCCAGCCTCAGTGTGCTCAGAGACCCCAAATGGGCAAGAGGCCAAGAGGTTCAGGGTCTCTTGTGAGGAGACAATAGAGCCCCAACATTCCAAGCATGACCAGATGCTCACAACGCCTTCCTGGTCAGTCTGCTTGCTAGCCCATCTGGTCGACCCTGGTCCCTGCCCAAAGAGCTCCAGCTTTCCTCCTGCAAGATCCCTGGGATCCTTCTTACCGCTCATAATGGAACCTCATGTTCTGGAAGCCACCAAGATACTCCTGAGGGTGAGCATTGCCATGGCCTTGTTCTCTCAACATTCTGGGCAATGGCAGCTGGGGCCCCTAAAGAAAGGAATGGTCAGTAAAAGTAGCCTACTCAGTCTCAGCTGAACAGCTGCCCCACACTGCCCAGGACCAATGGTGTATCCTGTCAGGAGTCACATGGTACCTGATCCTCTGGAATCAGGGGTTGGCAGCTTTCAGACGACTAGAAGAGCTTGGAAATCCCACAAGTTGGCCAACTGCCACCACTCCACCCACACCATGCTCCACAGTAGTTTCTAGTCATCCAAGCTATGGGAAAAGAAGAGCAGTGACAGGGATCCCTGTGCTCTGCCAGCACTGTCACAAGCAGACATCAGCCAAGTCAGAGAGGAGAGTGGAAAAGCTCAATTTTAAAGTCAAGGAAATTGAGGTCTGGCAAATGACTGCACTTCCCAAAACATACAGTAAATATTGGAGCTCAGGATAGAACCCTGGCCATTGGGAGACCATAACATCCTTCTCTGGGTGAGCACAGCTATCCCAGTGGATTTCATTTTCATCCATCTGCTAATGACTGCTTGGAGTGGATGTCTCTGCCCCACAGCTCTGGGGCTAAGGTATCTCATACCTTGAAGAGCCAATGTGGGCTAGAGGAACAGAATGTGGCAGACCCACCTGGGTTCAAATCTCAGCTCCAGATTTCCAGGGCAAGAAGAAAATTTTCACAGACTATTTGGTTTAACACATGCCACATGCCGCCCTCTGAGCCCTTACCAACATCAAGTCATTAAATCCTCTTCATGACCATTCAAAACAGGTATTACTATCATCCCATTTTGAAAGATTAGAAAACTGAGAGAGAAGTCACATTATTTGTCCAAGTCACACAGCTGGTAAGTAGCAGAGCAGTCAGTTAAAGCCAGGATAATTTGCTCCAGAGGTTGTGCTTTTAACCATTATCCTAGGATGCCTCTCATATTTGACACCACTTCGCCTTCAGACGCCATTAAAATGAAAGCAAAATCAGTAAAATGGTATACAACCTGCAAGAAAAAAGGTAATGGGAGAGGAGAGGCCACAAATGATGAGAGAGCTCAACATGACTGTGTCATTCAGCGAATGCTGAGAACAAAGCCAGGGAAAGTGGGCCTTGTGGCTCAGAAGCAAATGGCAAGCAGTAGAGGAGGGAGTCCTCCTCCTGCCAGTGTCCAGAGAAGACCCAGACCTGGAGGCTGCAGGGACACTGGGGTGGTCTTGAGGACCCAGTGGGTGGGGGTGGGGGACAGCAGCTTTGGCTGAAGGTCTGTACATGGAACAGTCATCCAACCCTCTTACCCCACCTGGCTGGCAGCCTTTTCTCGCCAAATTCAAACTTGAGCTAAATGAATGGAGAAGCAGGGGCAGTTGTACCACAGACCAGAGCCCTCTCCACTCTGGCATTTACCGGTTCCTCCTACACAACCGACTTTGCTGAATTAGAGCCTACTGTCTCACAGGCCTCACCAAGACACAGAATTCTGAGTTGTCTCTATTTGCCTCACTTTTAACAAGAAACAGACAACCAAGGCTCACCTGTCACCTGAGAAATATCTGCAGCCCTTCTATGTTCTTAAGAACAATAGTAAATGCAAGGTTGAACCATTTCTGTATAAAGGATTTTCATAGAAACTTTACCACCATGTTCCATTTGTTGTAATAATGCAAAATTTCTTTCTTAAAAGTGCACACCAATATTGGTGTGACATTTTCTATGTGAACAGTACTTGACAGTCATGCTACTATTTTATTTTCTTCTTTATCTTCTTCTTATGATACCTCAAAAATAGGTTGAAAATGACAGTGTGTGTCAAGAAAACCCTAGGACTATGAAGGAAAACCCTAGGACTGTAATAGGAATTTGATTGAGAGCTTCTCCTAGAATGATTTCCACACCATCCCTTTGATTTTCCTACAGATTGGGATCAGAAAGACAAAAAGTTTTTTGAGATATTTGAGAGCAAATAAGGATGAGTAACTGGTGGCTGGGGTTTGTTTGTTCGAAATAACATAGTTTGTTCTTACACATAAATATAACAAGAATTAATGTGACAACATCTGCAAGTCGATGATAGCCTATTGAATTTGCCCATCATAAGACAGGCCTAACTGTTCAAACCAGTTGTCTTTTTGCTTTTATTTTTAATTTTAGGAACACTTTATTTAGAATTATATGCATTATAAAACAACGCTTTTATAGCAATTTGACAGAGATCAAGAAAATCTATGAACTTCAGCAAGTCCTAGCTTCCCTCTACTATTTCAAACAGTGTTATTTTTATTTTCATGTACTTTTCAAGGCACACTACTTCCCCACACCCAAATCAGCAGAACAGTATTATGAATTTTTTTTGTCCTTTAATGTTGTGGTTCTCAGAGGTGGTCATGGTTCCATTTTGGGGGGTGCTCAAAAGTAAATAATAAATAGAATTGATAAATTTCTTAATTTAAATGTAAATAATAAATAGAACTGATAAATTTCTTAATTTAAATGTCTAGTTTCTAAATTCATTATAATGACTGTTTCTTTTTAAAGTAGTCCTGTGGTCCTAATAGGTAATTATGATTAATTCAGAGATAATATCTCCCCATTGCCCCCCAAAGATCCCATTCTCCCTCAATCTCATGGGCATGACTGGCTTCCTGGAGCCTGAGCTGTTGGAGTAATTTGACTTTACTTCCACCTTTGGACATAAGAAGCCAATTCAGTATTTTTGGTTTATTTTCATTCCCAGGAGGTCCCTGATCTGGGAGTTCTATTTCTCTTTATTCATTAGTGGTGGGATCATTTGGGCATTTATCATAACTCATTCCCTAGAACAGCCAGGCCTCCCTACTCTCCAACCCTGTTGCCTTTCCCCACTAACCTCTGCAACACTGTAACACCAGGGTGACAGTAGCTAACAGAATCCACAAAAGAACTACCAGATTCAAGTGATTCCCTAAATAGTAAGGTCATCCTCCTCTCCAAAATGACTGCCTTTTCCCAATACAGTTTGCAGCAATATGGCTGCCATTTTTTTTCCCCCTAGAGCATTCCCTCACTCGAGGTGAATGTAGTTTAAAGGATTATCTACAGAACAATGGGACTCAGGTGATTTCCTAGAACATTGGGTCTCCCTCCCTTTCCAACCTAGTTGCCTTTTCCCAGTAACCTTTGCAACAGTATAACAGCCATTTCTCTAAAACTCCCTCAGGCATAGTAAAAGTAGCTTTAAAGGATTGGCTACAGAACTTGAAACTCACATTATTTCTTCCAACTTGGTTATCTTTTCCCAGTAACTTTTGCAACAGCATAGCAACCATGTTTCTAAAACTTCCCCTCACCCACCAGTGAATAGACCCTAAGGAATGACTACACAGTGAGAGAACTCAAGTGATTCCCCAGAACACTGAGATCTCCCTCCTCTCCAAAATGGCTGCCTTTTCCCAGTATCCTTTGTAACAGTGTACCCGCCGGGTTTTTTTCTAAAATATTCCTGAACTCATATTAAGTGTAGTTTAAAAGATTGGCTACAGAACACTTAGATTCAATTGATTAGAATTCCTAACAGTCAGGGAGCATAGGAACCTACCTTGCCTTACCTTTGTCCCGGCCCTGAGAAATATATTTTATTTATATATATTTATATTTAATCTATTAGATGAGTCCCATCCACATATCAAGGATTAGGAATGTCCTTTACTTAAAGTCCACAGAGTATAGATGTTAACAAAGCTACAAAATACCTTCATAGCAACACCTAAACTAGAATTTGATGGAATACCTGGGAACTATAGGCTACCCACGTGGACAGGTAAACTTGATCCTCACAGTGGTCTAATCACTGAGGAAGCTGAGGGAAATTTTTAACTTAGACCAGGGACTGTAAGGCTGGCCTGGGGATGGTGGGGCCTCCGCAGTGGCTGTAGGCAGATCACTTCTTTCCTGCCCTTCCATCCTGTGGTTCTCATGGTTCCTATCAAGGCTGATTATTTAATAATTAAATACTTTATATAATTATAATTTATATAGATAAATATTTATACATAAAATATAGCTATAGAGAGAAGTATAGATATAGATTTATTTATTTATTTACTTAGGAAAGTGTCATTTCACACACACTAGAGTTTTGTAAAGTGTATATGTAGTCCCCAAGCAATATGTGATTCAGGTGTTTTGGACTCTTAAGGTTGAACTCCCAGCCTACCAAAAGATAGCTGTGACTTCTTATTGGACATCCCTGCCTTCACTGCCTCACTGGTACACAGGAGCTTCCTTCCTTGCCCCTAAGTCAATATCTGGCTTTGTTCAACCTACCATCATCAAGCTAGAGCCCCTACAGCCTGTATGCCCAACTCCAACCCAGTTGTTGCATGTCGAGGGCTCCACACAGTACCGCTTTCTTGGGCCGAGTGGCAGTCATATTCCAAGCCGGTTGACGTGCAACAGAGCCAGCAGCCTTTGGATCCAACTTTTGTCGCCGCTGAGAGGTACCCAGGGATTGGGATCCACGTGCCATCATTTCTAGGGAGAAGAAGAGAGGCACCAGAAGCACTCATAGAGGCTGTGCCAAGGCTTCCTGGACACAGGATACACCAGAAAAAGGACAGGATACCCAAACTTCTTAGGAATCATTCAACACTCATTCACTGCTGTCCATTGGCAGATCCCAGGCCTCAGTCTGTTCATCTCTTCGAAAGTTTTGCATCCATACACACACTTTCTCTATCACACATGCACAGGTGTGGACACCCAAGGAAAGAGGCATTACAGGGGCTCCTCACCTGCTATCACCAGGTGCTCTTGGCTTTGCATATAGCTTTCAGGAACCAGTTCTTCAGCCATGGATGTTTCCATCTCCTCCTTGATGCTAGGGGGGCCTCCTGCCATCACAGCCAATTTTTCACTTTAAAGCTATAGCCAAAGATACACAAGAAGCAAGGCCAGAACAGGCACTTGGAAAATCAGCTCTGCGAGGGGTAGGTTCTCAAGCAAGATATATCTGGAGATGGGGGTGGAGCTAGACTCCCTCGCAGGGCTTAGGTCTTGGACCCAGCACCTTGTGTTCCTGCTGTATCTTGTTGGCTGGGTCCACAGCCTTCTCCCCTGCTACTCTGTAACCAACTTAGGAGGAAAGATAAGTGTCAGAAACTGCCTGTGAGGACTATGATGGCTCTCAGGTCACCTGATTTGGCCCTATTGAGGAGCAGGTGGGATCCACCCTCCATCACTTCTAAAGTGAAACAGGTACTGAAAAATAAATAAATAAATAAAATAAAAAGAAGCAGTTACTGGCACAGGACCCCAGAGCCAGTCAGTAGCCAAAATAAGGTTAGATCCCAAGCCTGACGTGGCTTCTGCAAGCCCAGCTCTGGCAAGCAATCCAGGCCATAGCACCCCTTGGAAGGCATCCTTTGCAGAGCACATCCTGTTCGCAGGCAAGGGAGATGGCCTTTTGATGCCCTGGATCAGCCTGGGCAGGAACCATGAGAACCACAGGAGGGAAGGGCAGGAAAGAAGTGATCTGCCTACAGCCACTGGGGAGGCCCCACCAGATGGCCAACAGATACATGAAAAGATGCTCAACATCACTATTCACTAGGGAAATGTAAATCAAAACCACAATGAGATACCACCTCATACCTGTCAAAGTGGCTAAAATCAACAATACAAGAAATAAGTGTTTGCAAGGATGTGGAGGAAAAGGAACCCTCATGCTCGGTAGGCAGGAATGTAATTTGGTGCAGCCACTGTGGAACACAGATTTGAGTTTCCACTAAAAATTATAAATACAAATACCATATGAAACAATAATTCCCCTACTGGAATTACTCAAAGAAAATGAAACAAAACAACAACAACAAAGAAAATGAAAACACTAATTTGAAAAGATATGGTCACCCCTATGTTTATTGCAGCATTATTTACAATAGCCAAGATATACAACCAGCCCAAGTGTCCATCCATAGGAAATATTGGATATTAAATAAGAAAGATGTGACATATACATCTGGAATATTGTACAGCCATAAAAAATATGAAATCGTGCCATTTGCAACAATGTGGATGGACCTAGTGGGTATTATGCTACTGAAATAAGTCAGAGAAAGACAAATACCATATTATTTCACTCAAAAGTGGAATCTAAAACAAACAAAAAGCAGAATCAGACCTATAAATCCAGAGAACAAACTGATGGTTTGCAGAGAGGAGGGGGGCAGGAGGATGGGTGAAATGGGAGAAGGGGAGTGGGAGATACAGACTTCCAGTTCTGGAATGAATAAGTCATGGGAATAAAAGGACAACATGAAAAATATAGTCAGTGATACTAAAATAGCATTGTATGGTAACAGGTGACAGGTACACTTCTGCTGAGAATAGCATAATGTATAAACTTGTTGAATCACTATGTTGTGCACCTGAAACTAATGTAACATTGTGTGTCAACTATACTCAAATTAAAAAGAAAAATTTAAAGACCGCAGCATCTATCCCTGCTTAAGCTTCCAGTGTGCAGGCCTGCCCCGCAAATTTTGGCCTTGCTAGCCCCACAGTGGCAGGAGCCAATTTCTTAAAGTAAATATCTATATACATACACATAGGCGTATGCATACACATACACATACATACATATATCCTGTTGGTTTCTTTTCTCTGGAGAACCCTGACTGATACCACCACCAGAGGTGAAACCTCAGCTCTTGGGAACAACTCCAGAGTCTCTGGAGGAAGAGGAGGCTATTTGCAAAAGGAGCTAAGCACAGCTGGGGCCAGGTGGGAGGAAGAAGAGGAAGCAGGGAAGGAAAAAGGAAGGGAGAAAGGAAAGCGTGAGAGAGAAAGGGAGGGGCTGGAACTTGCCTAGAGAGGGTGGCATGGTCTGGGCTGCCTGGCCCCCTCCCTGGCCCACCTGTCCAGCACTGGGGCTCAACACCCTGGAGCAGAGCTGACAAAGGCCCTGCCTGCGTTCCTGAGGCCCTGAGGAAGCCCTTCCCAGATCCAGTGGAGCAGCTGCAATGAAATCTGAGCTTTCTGGAAGGTCACCTTAGGAGCAGAGAAGTGTGCTTTTGTGGGACTCAGGAGCTTGGGAAGCAGTAACCATGGGCTTCCGCCTGGTCAGGGTTGCCAGACTGAGCAAATAAAATGAATGTTAATTGAATTTGAATTTCAGATAAACAAGTAAGTTTTCAGGGTTAGTACACTCTGTGCAACATTTGAGACAAACTTGCACTAAAAATTTAATCATGGTTTATCTGGTATTCACCTTATACTATGTATCCTTTATTTTGTATCTGGCAACTCTATGCCCTGCCCATCCTCATCACAATCTCAAGATTTGACCTTGAGCAAGTTTTTCCTTTCTTTGGGCCTCAGTTTCCCCATTGACAATGGAGCTCACAATCCCTTCCTTACCATGTGGCTGGAAAGCCCCCACTGTCTAGTGTGCCAACCTTGGGGGCCCGAAGGCCTAGAGCATCCCTAGAGCACAGAGAACTCTGCCAGGCCTTATGGGGGCCCAGAGAATGGCTCATGCTTAGTGTAGGTATTGGGCTACAGAGAGCTAGGCCCCCATGGAAGGCTCCCAGAGAAGATGGCCAGAAAGCCCAAAGCTCTTTCCACTCCAGAGATTAGACAGATGCCTCTGTAAAGGGGAAGGAGGGGTCCCAAGAACATCTGGCTGAGATGTATGTATACATATACATTTGGGATATGTGCCCATTCTACAGTTTACTTTTTTCTTTTTTTTTTTTTTTGCAAGTACCTGACACATAGTAGGAAAGTCCTTATTTAAAAATTAAACAGAAAAACACATTAAAATATGTAACCATACATATACACACTTACATGAAAGAAAGGCCAGGGGATTCTTGTCTATCACTTTTTTTTAAGGTTTCATGGTATTTTTTTCCCAGTTTTACTAAGAAATTTGCAACTTATTTTTTTAAGTGCACAGTGTGCCTTGGGGATCTCACATGTCAGAATAAATCTCCCTCCTGTCCTTTAAACACTGCTTTCCTGCACAGCTGTGCCCCTGTTTATTGACCTGCTTGTGGACATTTTTGGTGTCTAGAGCTTTTTCACTTTTATAAACAAGAAACAGTGAGCATTCCTGGACATGCCTCTTTGCACACATATGTAAATATTTTTGTAGAACAGGTGCCTATAAGTGGGATTTGTGTAATTCTAGGGTATGTGTGTTGACAATTTTTACTAATACTGACCAATATTATCAGTGCCCCTCCTAAGACACTGCACCAAGTGGGACCTCACTCAGAAAAAGTTCTGTTTTCTTCACAGCCTTATCAACAGAAGATATTATGGAACTTCCTAAAAGGCATCAGTATGTTGGGTAGAAAATGTTACCTATCTCATTGTTGCTTTAATTTTATTGCTTTAATTATGAATAAACCTGAGAATTTTTCATATGTTTATTGCTCTTCTGTATTTCTTTCTTGTGAATTGTCTGCTGGAGGGCTTGGATCTTTATTAAAATAAGAGCTGTTTTATTGACAGAAAGGGATGGAGATGAAATCGCTCCCTCCCTTCAAGCGAAGCTTCTCCAAAGAAAACATATCATCTTTTTCCCTAAAGGTGATCATGAGCACATAGCCTCCACTGGGGGACGAACAAATCCAGTTAGTTGTATCCAAGTTTGTGTTGAAATCTAGAGGGCATCCAGCCCCCCCACAGAGCAGGTGTCTAACTCGGGCTGTTGCCTGCCTATCTGCCTGCCTGTCTACCCTTGTCTTATGTCTGGCTGTGTCTCTGCCTGCCCCACCACCGGCCTCCACCAATTCCTTCCAACCACCGGCCTCTTCCAGCAGTCCAGCCAGCCGTGCGCTGGACTCAGATTTCCGACAAGCATGGGGAATCTGGCAGCCCTGTGTGCTGCCCGCTTCCGCCTCCGTTGCCAGCAGGAGCAAAGGATGGCAGGAACCCAGGTCCAGGATCAGTACACCTGGGAGTGACATTGAGGCATCTTAGGCAAGTTGTTTCCCATGTTCCGAGCCTCTATTCCCCATCTTCACATGGAAGGTTGGGCTAAAATCCAGTTTTAAACTACGTTTTATGGTTTCAGGGGTATATGTTGGGACTACCTGGGCTTCAGGGCAAACTCCAGCCTCGCTTCACAGAGAACAGCTCGCTTTTATTACTTTCTCATATTGATGTTCTACGGATGAGACCATTCAAAGCCAATGCATATAATGGTCTACCACATCCCAGGTCTGCTCAGAGTCCAGTTTCAAGGAGCTATAGAGCCAAGCCCAAGTGAACAACCCTGATTTGGGCTGCAAACCCAGATCCCAGACATCTGCGAGCTTCCTCCCCACTTGCTAATGAAACTTACAAACCTGTAAACAATTCTCTTTCCTGCTTCTGAAAGCAGCTGGCACTGATGTCATCCCTGGAGCCCCAGGGCCTCCTGGACCAGAAGGGAAGGAGAAGGGGAAGGGGGACTAGCAGAGCTTTGCAGCTGTCCCTCCATTCCTTAAAGAAACAGGGAGGACAGAGGCATAAACTTCAGGGAGTGTAAGGTCTGGGGAATGAGGACCACCTCATAAGCAGAGAGAGGGAAATAAGTGGCAGGAGTATCTGGGACAGGGCCACCAGCAGGAGGTTATAGTGAGTACTTCGATTTCCAAATGTGGGCACCTCTCATTCAGCATGACTATCTTGAATAAAGACTGACTGGGTATCAGGCCCTGAGACTAGGGATAAGTTTCCTGTCTTCATGGAACATATGCTTAGAGGGCAGATGGAAACAAGCAGACAGACAGGCAGGAAGTCCATGGGTCTGTGGGGACAATAGCAGGGCCTTCTTTTTATGGCAGTCCTGCCCTAAATCCTGCAACATTCTCCCTTCCTGGAAGTGTGGTGGGTGGTCCCTCGAAGTTTGTCAACCTACGATCAAGAGACTGACTCTTGCCCGGCAGCCTCTAACTGCACACCTCCAGGACAGCTCACAACTTCCTGAGGTGGC